ATTTTCAATGGTGAATTGTTGGAATTCATTCATTTGATGGAATTAATTCATTTTCATTCATTCATTTTAAAATCTCCATTTGTACTTTCTCCATTTCTCCATTTCTCCATTTCTCTACACATTTCTCTACATTTCTCTACATTTTACTTGTGCTTAAACTTGTAAACGCGAATTTCTAGTGCTAAAAAAGTCGATAATCCGGTAAATTTAGGTGTTTTTCCATTGTTTGTTTCTATTGAGTTGGGGAGAATGAGTCGGCGCCGAAAATCAAAAAAATGTCTAAAACTTCTAGCAGACTTCCTCAAATAATATGCGTTTGATATCAGTAGAATGGTTAACTAATTCTCTACAAAATGACATTTAAAAGAAAATTCAAACAGCGCCTCCGGTCAAGAAAAAGCCATTTTTTCACAAAAACTACAAACTGTGATCTAGAAAAAACCATTGGTGGGATCTTCCTGCAAATTTGGCAACTTAAGTAATCGAATGTGCTCTATCTTTTTTATATAAACACCAAAGAAGGTTTATGTGAAAGAAACTGTTCAAATGATGAGTCGGACTCTTTGCCATTTTAACCAGCTGCGTTTGGAAGTTCATAAACTCCACGAAAGAAAAGCTTTGTGGAATCTCTCAAAAGTCATTTTGTAGAGAAATAGTGGATCCTTTTGATGAAACCAAACGTATGTTTAAAGAAGGCTTTATGTGTGCAAAAAGTCCCTTTAAAGTTTGGCGCCGACTCATTCTCCCCAACCCAATATGTTTCTATTGTTTACCATTAAAAATACCATTTTTACCATTAAAAACTGATGTTTTTACAAATTCGAGCACCTTCATTGAGTCTTTATTCACATTTAAACCAAAAAAAGTTCTCAGCGTTGAACTTTCGATTTTCGCATAATGTGTCTCCTTTTCATTCTCATTCTCTCCAAGGTCACTTTCCCAATTTCTAAACGATCATCGGATCATATTAGCTTTTGATTTATTAGCTTTTGTCATGTTTTTAGGCTTTAGCTTTAAAACTTGACTTTACTTGACTTTACTTGACTTTACTTGACTTTACTTGACTTTACTTGACTTTACTTGACTTTACTTGACTAACTTGACTTTACTTGACTAAAACTTGACTTTATTTGACTAAAACTTGACTTTACTTGACTAAAGGAAAGCTTAAAATCCTTTATTATTGATAGTTTGCGATACTTTCTTTTCATACGTACTATTGGGTTGGTGAATTGAAAACTGCTGGACTTTGAACTAAAATTTATTCAACATAAAACCATCAACTCCTTCCAAATAATCTCCATTATTATTCTGCCCATTTTACAATGACTTCTGCCCATTTTACAGGCAATTTGCGGATTCCTCGTTCGTAGTAGGATTTTGGTTTTGAATCGAAAAACTTTGAAAGCCAACTTTTGACTGCTTCTTCCGAATCGAAGTGTTCTCCAGTAAGCTCATTACTCATGATCCGGAATAAATAGTAATCAGAAGGGGCAAGGTCCGGACTGTATGCGGGATGTGCCAAAAGTACCCAACCAAGGCTGTTTATTTTAGAGCGAGTCAGTTTTGCAACATGAGGGCGCACGTTGTCGTGAAGGAGAACGATCTTTGACTTGGAGGGCCATAGAGCTCATAGCTAGAGCTCATAGCTAGAGCTCATAGCTAGAGCTCATAGCTAGAGCTCATAGCTAGAGCTCATAGCTAGAGCTCATAGCTAGAGCTCATAGCTAGAGCTCATAGCTAGAGCTCATAGCTAGAGCTCATAGCTAGAGCTCATAGCTAGAGCTCATAGCTAGAGCTCATAGCTAGAGCTCATAGCTAGAGCTCATAGCTAGAGCTCAATTAAACGCTAGTTTTCATTCGAATAGAGCTTATTTTGACTAAGTTTTGTGATTTCCCATTGATTTTGATTAAATAGTATCAAATTTAAACTAATTAAATGTTAAACTGACAGTTGATTACGGCTTTTTCTCTAAATATTGGGTTGGTGAATTGAAAACTGCTGGACTTTGAACTAAAACCATCGGTTCCTTCCAAATAATCTCCATTATTATTGACGACTTCTGCTCATTTTACAGGGAATTTGCGAATTCCTCTTTCGTAGTAGGATTTTGGTTTGTGTGTGAGACAAGTGTGAGACTCAAAAATGGAGGGCCGGAGATCTCCAATGTCCCAGTTTGAGCATTTGAGCACTTTCCTCAAAAGAAACCCATTTTGGTGTCAATAGAAAAGTTGTAGAGAATCAAAAATTAGGCTTATAGCCAAATTTCCAAAAAGATACACTTAGTAGTTTCGCTTAAAATGCAGGTTTTGTTGCAAGTCTTGTTGCAAGTTTTGTGAAAATTCGTAAATTTGGCATTTCTTGAAAACCAGTTTTTGAATCGCTCTGAAAATTTGGATATAAGCTTGATTTTTGATTCTCTACAACTTTTCCATTGACACCAAAATGGGTTTCTTTTGAAGAAAGTGCTCAAAAAGGGACATATGACAATAGCCGGCAATTTTCAATTCACCAACCCAGTAGATATGAGAAAATTTCAATCCAAATCCAATTCCACCTTCGTTTTCTCAGCCGTCTTTTGACTAGTTATTCTGAAATTTTGTTTACAAAATAGATTAGCAAATTATAAAATGCAAATTATAAAATACTAATTATTGGGTTGGTGGAAAAGTCCTTTCGGATTTTTTGGGAGAGTACCTTAAATTTGTCCAATTTTCACGTTTTATAGCTCATCCTAAAGCTGAATTCAAGACGGATCGATTGGTAAAAACAGTTTTGAGATATCTCTTTTCTAAAAGTTTTGACAGCTATTTTAGTAAAGGGCGGCAGAGCCAAAAAATGGCTGTTTTCACGTTTCGTTGGTTTTCCGTGCAGAAACCTAGGCTAAAAACATGTGTTTCGTGATCAGCGTCAAAAATAACCCCTAGACACAAATTTTCAGAATCTTAGCAAAAAATTTTTGAAAAATATTGTCACCGGTGGAAGTCGAACCAGCGACCCTCAGATCAATAGCCTTTCCGCCGCTTCTCGCGATTTTCCTTCGTTTTTCCCCTTTTTTTTGTTGTACCTAAATTTAAAAATTTAATTTTTTAAATTTTGGGTACAACAAAAAAAGGGGAAAAACGAAGGAAAATCGCGAGAAGGCTATTGATCTGAGGGTCGCTGGTTCGACTTCCACCGGTGGCAATATTTTTCAAAAATTTTTTGCTAAGATTCTGAAAATTTGTGTCTAGGGGTTATTTTTGACGCTGATCACGAAACACATGTTTTTAGCCTAGGTTTCTGCACGGAAAACCAACGAAACGTGAAAACAGCCATTTTTTGGCTCTGCCGCCCTTTACTAAAATAGCTGTCAAAACTTTTAGAAAAGAGATATCTCAAAACTGTTTTTACCAATCGATCCGTCTTGAATTCAGCTTTAGGATGAGCTATAAAACGTGAAAATTGGACAAATTTAAGGTACTCTCCCAAAAAATCCGAAAGGACTTTTCCACCAACCCAATAATTAGTATTTTATAATTTGCATTTTTTTCAGATTCAGATTCGAATTTTGTTATAACTAGTACGTACTGTACTTTTTATTACAATATAGTACTCTTTGCAAGCTTGATCTGTTTTAGAGTAATCAATTTGGATATAAGCTTGTCTCTACTCTGCTATAATACTAGCCTGAAAAAGCATTTAGCAAGATCTTTTAGTTCAATTTTATAATATTTTGTAATACGTAAGCAGCATTTAAGCAGTAATGTAAGCATTTAAGTATTTACCAGAAATACTATAATAGTGTCCCGCCCCCATAATGACGGTGCAGAGTGTTGCGTAGTCTAGCTTTGAAAGCGTTTTTCTTGACACTGGTTCAAGCTACAAGGGGCGCTTAGGTATCAAAAAATAGCTGGAATTCAGGGCTATTTTTTGATACCAAAACCGTATTTTTTGAAAGTACGGGTGTTTTGAAAAAAATGAAATACTAAAAAACCATTGCGACTACGCGACTGTACGAGGGCGGATGGGGTACTGTTAGAGTATTTACGGTAATTTTTACCGTAAATACTCAAGTATATAGTAGTAGTATTTAAGAAAAGAAAGTAAACAAATAAAAATTGAATTTCGAGTTAGAAATCTTATTGTTATTTTTGAAGAAAATTGTTCAAACTGTTCAAAATGACCTTCATCAAAAAAATCTTGAGAATTTTTTCTTTTTCAAAAGGACAGTGGGCAAGATTTTCAAGTAATTACATGAGATTTGAGTCTCGCAAAAGAAAGATATTCTTTAAGAAGTTACTTCTTTCTTTCTCTTCTTCCTTCTCTTCCTTCTCTTCTTTCTCTCTTTCCTTTCTTCTTTCTCTTCTTTCTTTCTTCCTTCTCTTCTTCCTTCTCTTCTTTCTTCTTGTTTCTTCTTGTTTCTTCTTGTTTCTTCTTGTTTCTTCTTCTTTCTTCTTCTTTCTTCTTCTTTCTCTTCTTCCTTCTCTTCTTTCTTCTTCTTTCTCTTCTTCCTTCTCTTCTTTCTCATCTTTCTCTATTGCACAATTGTTTTGTTCAAAAGAACAATATAACAAAAAAGAACAAGCTATGTATCGTAGCTATAGAAAAATTCCTTCAGATTCGGAATCAGCACAATTTTCCGCATCTAAAAAGGTACTCCCAGAAAAATCCGATAGAAAACGCTTTTTTTGCCTTATTTCGCGCCGATGTGAAACTCATTTTCTGTATTTTTTTCTTTAAAAATCTATTTCTTTAAAAAGATAACAGTATCTTTTTCTTCCTTCTCTTCTTTCTTTCTTCTTCCTTCTCTTCTTTCTTTCTTCTTCCTTCTCTTCTTTCTTTCTTCTTCCTTCTCTTCTTTCTTTTCGATCTTGTCAACAAAAATTTCAAAACATTCTTGCAACAGTTTTGCTTTGTTTTGCTTTTTTTTTCCAACAACATTAACGTGTTTCTACCTTTCTTGATGTCTACCTCTCTCAGTTTTCTTTGTGCTTTTGAATTTTAAATAATTTTAGGAATGCGTGAGCCTGTAGCTGCTGTACGTCGAAAAAATAAAACCGAATTGCCTCAAGAGATCCCGCGAAGTCCACTCAATGAGGTTAGTGGTTTGACTTTGTTGAAACTCTATGCTAAACTTGAATTGGATACAATTCTTGTTCTCGGATTTCTTCGCTTCAAACAATTAATAAGCTTATGACTAACTTTTAGAGCAAAAACGTTTTCTAAAACGTTCGCTTTAAGCAAACTATCATAATCCGGCTTTTTGGCTTTTCCCTAGCAAATCTAATGCCAATTTTCAATCGATTTTAAGTAATTATTAATTTAGACATTGCCAGTGCGTAAATCTAGATTGTCTAATTGTCTAATTTAGACATTACATTACCATTGCCTTGTACTTTTTCAGGTTAGTTTCTTAGTTAATAAAGAAGTGAAAGAATTGGGAAGTAGATTTGAAGGGATTGAACTCTCGATCTTACTCTAAGATTTCTGAGTAATTTCTCTAACCATTAAGCTATTCAGTACCTTCAAGAGAAAGAAGGAAAGGCAAAGAGGAAGAAGAAAGAAAGAAAGAAAGAAGGAAAGAAAGAAAGAAGGAAAGACAAAGAGGAAGAAGAAAGAAAGAAAGAAAGCAAGCAAGCAAGCAAGATAGAAAGATCAAAATCTTCCTCTCTTTATCTCTATTCGATGAAACTGGAGTTTATTTTGCCTCAAAGTGTTCGAGTCAGCTGGAATTCGCTTCTCCTTTCATTTCTCTTTCCCGTTCCTCTTTTTTTGAACCAAATGGTGTCAAAATAGCTAACAGCTGTAAGAAATTTGAAAGAAAATAGAAAAGGGAAAAGAATGGATCATTTGTGATTCATTTTCTCGCTTTTTTTTAAACGCCCACAAGGCGGCTAGGTTTTAGGATTTTTACTAGAGATTCTTAAATAGTTTTTTCAACTAATCACCAATTTTCGAAACTAGATCTATCTACAAAACGTCTCCGTTTTTTATTATTTTCCTAGGAGGCCTAGTTTTCGAGAAAAACGTTTCCAAAGTTTTGGCAATTTTTCTAAACCGGGACCTATAAGAAGGTGCCACGCCCTCATCGACAAAAGGCAGCGATGGTCCAGGGGATAGTGTGCTGGATTCTAAAACCTGTCCCGGCATTCTTCCTCGCGGGTTCGATTCCGCTTACTGCTAAATTTTTTTCTTATAAATATAAGGATTTTTGATGATGTTTGATGTTTTTAAAGATGTTTCTCTGATCAAAAATCGGTTGTAAATTGAAATCATTCCCTATTTAGATAAACTAATATATTTGTAGACTAGAGATTCATTTATTTGTCTTTGTAACCTGTCTGCTGTTCTTTTTCTGGAAGAAGTTCATGTACTTATAGAAAGTACATGTACTTATAGAAAGTACATGTACTTATAGAAAGAAAGTACATGTACTTTCTATAAGTTTCCATAAGTACATGTACTTTCTATAAATCTATAAACGCATCCCTTCTTTTGCACTAAGTTTTCCACTTTTCTTGCAACATTTACTTGATCTTCACCGAAAAATGAAGATTTTAGTGCACGAAAAGGAGAGAATTTTAGGTATAAAAGTGTAGGTTAACTTTAAAATATAAATTAGTGGAAAGAAATGGATTTCTTAGGAAAATTGAAGATATCAATAGGCCAGAAAGGGTGGGTTTAGAAGGTGATAAAGCTTATCGGACTCTTTTTTCTCAAAGCTTAAAAACATTATTTCTATTAGTGAGTTTTTGGTAAAAAAGGAGAATGTTTGAGCGGAGGCGGGTTCGAATTCTTGACCTCGCACTCGGTGCAAGCGAGCTAACCATTCGGCCATTGGGAGCTCGTTAGGTCTCTGATATTTCGAAACTATATTGCTCATTAGATTACTCATTAGACCGTCGTCCTTTCTTGAAGATTTCAGACAACGATCTATAATACTAACAATTTCCCGGCAATGACCGAGTGATTAGCCCGCTCGCAGCTAGTGCGGAGAGGTCAAGGGCTCGAGTCCGCGTCCGGTTAAACGTTTTGTAAGACATATCTGGCTCATAGCTGAATTTATAGATAAGATTTGAAAATTTAACGGACAGACAAAATTTAACGGACGGACATGTCGTGATAAAACGGACAGACTGACATGTCGAAATTAGATATAGATTAGATTTAAAGTCAAATTCAACCTGTCCAACACTCTGGAAGTAATCAGATCGATTTCAGGTTGTTTTTAAGATGATCTTTATTAAATTTGGTTATAAAAAAGTAGAATTTGTTTTGTACACCCGTTCAACCTGTACGCTATGGGCGAAACACTATTTCAATGGGTTTAAGGGGTAAAACGTGACAACAAACAATCTCTTTTTCATTTTTCTCCTTTTTCTCTTCAACCTTTTGTTATCGTTTTCCCATTCTTTGCTTGAGAAAAGGGGTGTATTTGAGAAAAAAAAGGACGTGTGAAATTCGACCCCAAATACACTAGACAAAAAGCGCAAAAAAAGAAAGCTATAGGTTAAAGGAAATCGTTAGATTTTTGCGTTTATATGTTTTTATCTTGTATTTTGTGTATTAGATGTTTATTATTATATATGTAGCCGTTTACGTAGCTGTAGCCGTTTCCGAAATTCAGCTGCTAACGAATCATTCGTTAAAGGCTAGCCGATTACGTATCATTCGGTAGCGGCTGAATTTCGTAAACTAGTAAGCTAACGTAAGCTAACGCATGATTCGTTAGCGGCTAGTCGATTGATTCGCTTAGGCTTAGACTCAGGCTTAGGCTTAGACTTAGGCTTAGGCTTAGGAAAAAAAACGCCTAAGCCTAAGCCAAGCCTAAGCCAAGCCTAAGCCTAAACCTAAGCCGAAGCCTAAGCCAAGCCTAAGCCAAGCCTAAGCCTAAACCTAAGCCGAAGCCTAAGCCAAGCCTAAGCCAAGCCTAAGCCAAGCCTAAGCCAAGCCTAAGCCTAAACCTAAGCCTAAAGCATGGCCAAGCGGATGTCCCTTAGCTCCGAGAACTGGCTGAGATCCAGAAAATGGGGGTTTAGCCCAAACCCAAATAGACTTAGTGCTAGGCGCTAGCCGCTAGCCTTCGCACTAAGTCCAAGCCTAAGCCAAGCCTAAGCCTAAGCCAAGCCTAAGCCTAAGCCTAAGCCTAAGCCTAAGCCTAAGCCCAAGCCTAAGCCTAAGCCTAAGCCTAAGCCTAAGCCTAAGCCTAAGCCTAAGCGAATCAATCGGCTAGCCGCTAACGAATCATTCGTTTTTCGAATTTCGTAAACAGCTACGACATATATAATATGTAGATTAAAGTATATTAAATGAATATTTTACTATTTTGTCAAAGCTCATAGTCAAATCTAATTCAAATTTGGCTAATTTCAAACGGGATTCGTTTACTTTGTACTTGGTGCTTTGTGCTTTGTACTTGGTGCCTTGTGCTTTGTACTTTGTGCACTAATCGTGCAAACACATCCCTTCTATCACACTAAAACTCCATTTTTCTTGCGGAACTCAATCTTTGTTTCAAGAAAATCATGCAAATGTACTTGTGGATCGAGAGCAACTTTGCTTTCCTCTTTAGCTAATTTATTTCTCCATTTTTTTTTCCTTTTACTTGTATATATCATAATTTTAACATTGTAAATGTTATAAGCTTTTAACTTGTAACAATTCTTTTAAAATTCATAATTCAGAGCATAAAACATCATAATAATCTCTTCTTAAATTAGTAATTAAACAAAACTCGACGTCATCCGGGAATTAATTTGCTCATATCTTTCTTTAAAGTCAATATTTTCTCAAAAAGTTTTCAGATAAATAATCCTCAAACATTTCTCATCATTTTGAGCCCGAATTTACTCAAATCGATTCACTGTGAACGTTTTTAGACAAGCTGAAAGGGAAATAACTTGAAAAAAGAGTCGAAAAAACCTTTGAATCTGTTAAAAACTCGATATTTTAATCGTTTTAATGTCCTACTTAAACATCTGAACACTTAAAATATCTCTAATCCATTGTTTGATCAAATCTTTTTCATTCTTTCTTTAGATTTCGTCACTTTTTAGAAAACTTTTCCTTGTTGTACTCCGAATTTCGAATATTTGACAGCTCACTGCAGAAAATCTGGCTCACCTTTTCACGAAAGAAAACTAAATTGGGCAAAAAGTCTTTATGAAAGTCAGTCATCCAAGAAAAACAGCACTTTAAAGCTTTAAGAATTGATATGAAAAGAAAAGAAGATCGGGTAGAAAGTGTAGAAAATTTGTAAAGTATCATAGATTTCAAAAGTAGGATTCAAGAACTGAAAAGCTCTAGAATCTGACTTCTAACAATTGTTGAATAAAAAACGTTTACCAGGTCTAGACTTTAGAAGATCTAGATTTTAGAAGATCTAGATTTCAGAAGATCTAGATTTTAGAAGATCTAGATTTTAGAAGATCTAGATTTTAGAAGATCTAGACTTCAGAAGATCTAGATTTCAGAAGATCTAGACTTCAGAAGATCTAGATTTTAGAAGATCTAGATTTTAGAAGATCTAGACTTCAGAAGATCTAGATTTCAGAAGATCTAGACTTCAGAAGATCTAGACTTCAGAAGATCTAGACTTCAGAAGATCTAGACTTCAGAAGTAATCCATAAAAACAACTATTTCCAAGAATTTCTCTCTCTTTTAAAGATCTTTTCAAAATACTTATTAGCTCTTAAATTATCTTTAATTATCATATCATTATCATGTAATCCCTTTGATCTAACTATTGTCTAACTATTGATTTAGCTGTGTTTTATCTCATTCTTCGATCTCATTCTTCGATCTCATTCTTCGATCTCATTCTTCTCCATTTCCTCTTTACTACAACAAAATAGGGCACAGAGAATTTTGATGTGAGTAGGAGGTATTGAGATGGAAATTCCCCCCTTTTTTCTCTCCTTTTCCATTGTCGATTTTTCTCTTCTTTTCATCCACTTCACTTCCACGGATCTCAACTTCAATCCTTCAGCCGTTTTTTCTTTTATATAGTCTAACCGCTAGTTGGAGCTGGTTTTCAGCGAACTCCCAACATTTGAACCTTTGAATTTCTACTTTATTAGAAACGTCACCCTTTCTGG